GGGGGGGAGGGAAAGGAGAGGAGGGAAGCTGTTATCCCAGAGCATACACACACAAAAATACTGCCAATGTATAGTATACTAAGTGCACACTTCAGCACCCAGGTGAGAATCAGCAAATTCAGCTGTCTCAAGTTTTAAATTAAATCAGAACTAGAGCACCTTCCATTTATCTGTACACTCTGAACAGGTCACATTACAAAGGCAAGGCCTGTACTCTTTAACCTCTTAAAATCTTCCCGGGTGTCAAACCCCAGGTTACTGTATTTCCCATTTGTTCAGTACTAAACAGGTAACTACTCTTTGCCACATCTGCCAGGTGTGGTGGCTACTTAGTCCTCTAGTCCTAGAGGTAGGTGGCTCTCTCCACAGAGCTCCAGGACAGCCAGGGCTACACAGAAAACCTTTGGGAGTGTGGTGGGAGGCACATTCATCCATATAAACACCTTTAATTCCATGAAGGAAGTCGCCTCCTGCATACACCTATTTCAGTTAGGAGTTTTTAAGATTGAAAGTTTTAGTCTATAAAAAGAACATTTGCATATCTTCTTTCTATACTGGTTTTGTTTCTCAAAGCTTCATCTGTGTGGAGATCCTTTTGTGCACGCTCTGTCAGTTTTAAGGAAGTCCATTTACTAAGGGCCCTAAGTGCAGCAATGCACACTTTTACCAGCCCTACGAAGCAGGCTGTGTTCCTCAGACCCTGTACTTGATGGAGGAGCCTGAGAGGAACACAGTGGGGATTTCATGCAGCCTTGTGTACCTCAGTCAGCAAAACCCTATATATATTATTTCTTCTCCCTACCAAGTATACCCTAAATCACCCCAAAGAGGCTTATAAGGATCGATTTCAAGACTGTAAAGTGCTCAAAAATGACGGAGAAAAGTTCCCACATGAGGCTCAAAGACCATTCAAACATAAAAGTCACTCGGGACTTTACCAAGTAAAAATCCCCAACCACTGATTAAATTATGATGTGTCTATAAATTGTCAAAACCATGATGAAGCTCAATGTATACTGATATGAAAATAATTCCAAGATGAAAACACTGTTTTTAAAAAGGGGTATAGTATTCAAGTGTCACAAGATAAATAAATGGGGAGAAAAAATAGGAAATTCTGAAGGGATACATAAGAAACTAATAATTGTAGGGGATGGATATGGTTGGTGGGACACCAGGGACAGAAGACAAGGATTCACAGCAGCTTCTTTAAAAAAAAAAAAAAAAGCCAGGCAGTGGTGGTGGCACAGGCCTTTAATCCCAGAATTCTGAAAACAGAGGCAGAGAATCTTTGTGAGTTTGAGGACAGCCTGATCTACAGATCAAGTTCCAGGACAGCCAGGACTACACCGAGAAACCCTGTCTTGAAAACAACAACAAAACAAACAAACAAAGAATTTTGGTTTTGTCGTCTAGTTTATTGTTTCCTGTTCTTGAATTTGAATCCAGGGCTTTGTACATGGCTAGGTAAGCACTCTACCACTCAACTACATATACCCCTACTCTGCACCTTTTTTTTTTTTTCGGGGCGGGGGATGTGTGATTAAAAACACGAATCATTCCCTGGGAGATGGCTCAGAGAGCTTGCTGCCCAGACATGAGGACCAGAGTCTGAGTTTAGATCTTAGCACCCACATAAAAAAGCAAGGTATAGGCACAGAAGCTTGTCACCCCTACCCGGTGGAGGGCAGGGACAGAGGACGGGAGCGCTGGCTGCCTAGAGTAGCTGGGCTTGGTTCCAGACTCAGAGTGCAGACCAGTTAAGGAAGATACCCAACATCAACTTTGGGCCACATGCGTGTGCACCATGTGTACATAAACCACACACACACACTTTTTAAAAGGATAATGGGTGGGGGTCTGGGGCACGGCTGGGCTGGCAGAGTACTCTGCTAACATACACAAGGCCCCTGGTTTGATGCCCAGCATGGCATCCCCCACACTCATGCCTGCAATCCCAGCACTCAGCTGTGGAGGCAGGGACAATCAGGTCAAAGTCTTCCACAGCCTAGTGCTGATATCCCAGCCTGAGACATCTGAGACTAGAGACGCCCCTCCTTCTCAAAAAAACAAAAAGGAGGGGGACAAGTAAGGGTGACTTTGGAGGAGCAAGAGACAAACAAAGCATCTTACTGGAGGAATAAGGTGTGGAAACAGCTTACTAAAGCTCTCCGGCTGGAGCCGTGGCTCAGAAGTTCGGAGCAGTCATCGCTCTTGCAGACACGGGTTAGATTCCCAACACCCACACGTTCACAGTCATCCATAACCCCTCTGCTGCCCTCTTTGGCCTCCTCTGGCACCAAGCACATACATGACATGCAGGCAGGCAGGCAAGACACTCACACACAAAATGAAAGGAATAAGCCTAATAATTTTTTCTTAAATATTTGTAAATGGAATTAAAGCAAAAAAAGAAAGAAACAACAACAAACAGCAAAGCCCTCAAAGACCAAGAGAACACCAATCCACCAACTTCTCCCATGTCCACCCTATTCCCACCATTCTTCTCATCTTGTAAACAGGATGTATTAGCTCAAAGAAATTAAACTGAATTTTCTTGACTAAGGTTAGTAAACAGAACTGAGACCAGAACTCGGGTTTCATAATCCCTTGTCCAGCACTGTCTAGTAATCAATTTGATTTTTCAGTTTCTGAATGAATGCTATTCCTGGTGCTCCTCCCACAGAACCCCTCCCACACTCAGGAGTTCTCACATTCCCTAATAAATCTGTTCGATCTACTTTAAGAAGAGAGAGAAAGAGAAAGGAAGGAAGGAAGGAAGGAAGGAAGGAAGGAAGGAAGGAAGGAAGGAAGGAAGGAAGGAAGGAGGGGGCTGTTTGCTGTTGTCTGTGAAGGTTTGGTTTGGCTGGATGATCCTGAAGATTCTGGTGACTTCCGAATTGAATGGCTGAGCAGCTCTCTCAGGAGATGCAAGGAGCTGTATTTACCTCCCCCTGCTGTGGCAGCTTAACAGCCTCTCCATACTTAATCATGCTGCAGTAACAGCACTGTGGAAGAGACCTGGGCCTCATGAAGGGGTGGCTGGCTTGGTCTCAGTACCCTCAACATAAAATGAGGAGCTGCACTTAGTCTAAAACTTTAGAAGAAAAAAACCCCAATGATTAAGTGTTAGCCCAAACTCATTTCATTAATTAATTCTGAAAAAAAAAAAAAAAAAAAAGCTATATGTTAGATCAATGGTTCAGTTTTGTTACAGTTTTTAGCAACAAAACTTAATACAAGATAAATGAAAACCTTTCTAAAGAGGTGCATTATCTTTAAAACTTTCAACATTTTTTTAAAAGCCTAGGCAATATCTCATTTCTCTTAATTAAAAAAAAAAAATAATCAAAATTTGGGGCTTAGAAAGTTACTCCGGCACTAAACTGGCTTCTCAGGGATGAGAACCTGCGCTCCAGCGCCAGCTCCATGCAGGAGTCACGGCGCCACTTGCCCCAGCACAGGGGAGGCAGACATCCTTGGGGCTCCCTGGCCAACCTGTCAGGCCTGACTGGAGAGACAATGAGAAATCCTGTCTCAAAAGAGGAAAGCAAGCTTCTCCTTTGACCCCCACATCCATGGACACACACGTGTACACACACATACACACTTCACGAAAATAAAAATGTTTTAAAAAGCTAGTAAAAAAGATTGGAAAATTCGCCAGGCAGTTGTGATTCTCGCCTTTAATCTCAGCACTCAGGAGGCAGAGGCAGGTGGATCTATGAGTTTGAGGCCAGCCTCGTCTACAGAGTGAGTTCCAGGACAGCCAGGACTACACAGAGAAACCCTGTCTTGATAAAAAAACAAAAACAAACAAACCTTCACAGCAACCTGGGCTTTGGGGAGTGGATCCATACCACCCACCCGTTTACTTTAGATCCTGCAAGGAAAGTAGGGACTGCAGCTGTTCTCACGATGTTCCACTGTGAGGGCTGAAGATGTCCCCCAAATCCACCTGCGTGTCACGACACGGGGATCAGAACACAAGCTGCTCCCTCTGGCCTCCTCTCCTCGCTCTGCCACCTTCTCGCTGCTGGTAGACTGCCTTGCCTAGGAAGACACGTGTGCATGCTGT